GGCCACCCCACAAGCATGTAGACTCCCCGAGGGCAGAAGTCAGTGCTGCCATTGTGTCCCCTAAAGCAGCACCTGTCATGGAGTGCGAAGAATCGGGAGCCCAGTTCTGCTCCAAAGGCCCCAGAGCAGCCTCTCAAACCATCGCAGCTGATCTCAGGTGCAGCCAATTACAAATTGCAGCAATTTTTAAGGGACTGATGAGATTATGCACTAATCTCATAAGAACAGCCTCTCCCTTCCCTTATGATCAAGATGGGGTCTCCAAATGCAAGAGAAAGAGAAATTCAGAAGAAAACATGAGTAAGAAAACGTGTGGTTTTTCTCAGGACGGGCCGGCTGGCACCGGCTGGCCAGAGTCTCCTGCTTGCCCATTCCAGGTCACGAGGTCCGCTTGTGGGATTTATAAGGGAAAGGGTGGTGTCTGCACTTGCAAGCCTTTGACTTCCTGTTTTTAAATGGCTGCGTGGAGAGCCGAAGAGTAACTTTCAACCAGATAAATACAAACAGCAGTCACTTCAGCTAGTACTTGGGGGAGGAAAGGGGGTGGGCGGCTGGGACCCCTTGTTTCTCTACCCACACACAAAGCCCCCAACCTGGTGGTGCCCAATGTCCACTTTTATTTCAGCTGGCCGGGCAAGGAGAACTCCTGAGCTGTGGCGAGAACTGTCAAAGGAAATTGCCTAACTGTCTCTACAAAAATGACCCATGAGGTACAAACATGTAAACCACGCTGGGTAGGCCCCATCCAGAAAATGCCTTATCATAGCTTCAGTTATTTCATGCTCCTGTAGGGCTCATAACGGGCTATACTGGACGCCTTCCTGACCCTTTTTCAAAAGAAGTAGCATAAACATAAAGGATGGATGACTCCTATTCATTGGTATGAGTGTAAACTCATGTCAGGCAATAAGCAAAAAGATTCTTTCATTTAAATGAAATGTGTGCAGCCAGAAGAAAAAAAAAAACCACAATACCGACTGATCTCCTGCACAGGGTAGGGGTGGGAGGGCGGAGGTGTAGACAAGTCTACAAATCTAAAAGGCTGTGGTGACATTTTCTGTCCTTCTGTCCTTACTAACTAGTCATCATCACAATACATTTTGTGTCTAAAGTACATATTACCAAACAGGGTACACAATGTGATCTCAACCACTTCTGTGTATATATATAGCTTATAGCATATATATTATAGCTTATAGAGGAAAAATACCATATGTCTCTGGGTGGTAGAATAATAAATGATTGTTTCCTCTTCTGCATTTCCTACATTTTCCAAAGTGAGCACATATTATGTCTATAATTAGATTACAATACAAAAACCTTTGGCATCCAGTCTATTCAAGTGAAACCACAAAGGGGGTAACCCAAGAAGCCTTTAAAGAAAGGGGGTAACCCAAGAAAGTCTTTACACTCTTTCAATACATTCAACCAGGCACAGAAGTCCCCTCAACAATGAAAGGAAACATATTGCAAAAGGCAGAAAAGAGAGAAAGAGAGTGAGCAAAGGCTTTCTCCGCTGTGAAGAGGAGCTTTCAAGAAACACTGCAATCCTGGGAGGTTCTGAGGGGCTGTCCTATCTGGCACACTCGAGCACAAAAGCAGCGTGGGGGCCTCTGGCCTGCCTGACAGCCCGCCAAGGCCCAGGCCCCTGGGGAGGGCATGGCAGATGCTTTACTGTCCAGGACACACCTCAGAGGATGTGTCTGCTGATGGACTCGCAGGTGAGAGGAACCACCTTTCTCGCTAACTCCAGCGTAGGTCACACCCACAGATGAGTCTGCTTAGGTTGGGACAGCAAATCTAGGCCATGGCGGACACTTCTGTCTGCCTCTGAGCTTTCAGGGAACCTCAGAGACCAGAAAGGCCTGGAAGTGTCCCCATCAGGAGGAGCCAGGCTTATTAACCAGGATTCCTGGTGTGGCTTCCTGACAGCAGAGAAGTGAACCCACTAGCATTCAGCCGCTTCATGCATCCCGGTGGTAAATATTCTACTAAGAGCTCTGCATGGAACACTGAGCGAAACACTGGCATTAGAGCAGGCCTACAAGCTGGTCCCGGCCCTCAGTGATACCTTTAACAAACACCACTAATCAGAGTATCGCCAATCTAAATAAAAAGGGCCAGGGAGGGACAAGACCCACTGCAGAGGAATTACTCCAGTTCAGGATGGACTCAAATCCAGGCATCAGAAAAGTACCAAAGGCAGTGGACCCCAGCTCACCAGGAGAGGGAGACAAGCTGTCTCCTTTATTCTTTCTCTCTCTCCCCACTAGCTCCAGGTATTCTCCAGCCACCAAGGAAGTCAGGAAGCCATCTCCTTTACAACATTCCCCTTCTATTTTAGACACAGTTATCTGAAACTCCTGCCAGAGGGCTCCAAATTTTTAGCAACACAATCTGTCCCACACTGTGCTCCCTTCTGCCTCTCCAGGGTGAGCTGAACCTGCAGAGCCTACAGAGAATCAGCCCTCACAAACCTAAATGCTTCAGAGGAGCAAGGATCAGGTGGCTTGTAAAGGCAGTCAGAACAGTACAATGATTTAGCATTGACCATCAGAGATCATGCAGTTTAATAAAGGCGGGGGGGGAGAGACAAGAAAATATCTAATACGGATTTCAAAGCATCTTTTTATGTGCCTTGTATTAATAAACCACTGACATGGAACCATGTGTGTGTGATTCAAAATAAGAAAGACCTTGCAATTAAACTGTCTGCAGGTCCACATGCAATAGAAGGTATTGAAGGTATTCATCTGCTATGAACTGGAGGGGAAATATCCAAAGAGCAGACTTGAAATATACGAATTATAAATAAATGTCATTTCTTGTAAGGAAAGGGAACCAGAAAGGGTTGGAAAGGTAGAGCACAGGTGCAGCGCTGAGGGTCCCTATCAGGAGGACCTTAGACCGGTTCCTCCAGGATCCAAAAGGCGAGACTGAGAGTGGCCACTGGATCTTCTAACTAGAGCTGGAAATTTGAACAAGGTGCCAGTTACAAGCTGGAAGTGACCTCCTAGTACTTCTGGCTAGGAAGTCACTTGCATTCTCACCCAGCAAAAGAGTGCAGGATGACAGAAAACCAGGCACAGGACGAGACTTAGTGGCTCACTGACAACTAGCAGGAGCAGAGAAGTTACAGTGCTTCCTGCTGCCTGCCGACACCCACCTCTGTTCCAGGCTTTCTGCAGCAACACACCTGGCATGTCGGGGGCCGGGAAACGTTAAGTGACCCAACAGCTTCATTTCCACATCTGGATCAACCATCTGGGCCTTTATTTAAATTGTTAGAGCCGCACACCACCCAGTCCCCAGCCGGCTGTCGGTCCTGCCCGCTGCCACCACTAGCCAGTTGCCGGAATGCCAGCGAGGGCCATTTTTAAATTCCCTTAGAAGTTTCACAACTACCCCTTTGGGTGAGGAGACAAACACGGCTGCAGTTTGCTGACATGAAACTAAAAATACCCAACTGCAAACAAAAGCCATCTTTTACAAGGCTGGCTGGGATGTCCTGAGGCTACATGTGGTGGTGTCTGACCAGATCCTTGGCAGTGTGGCCTCGTTCACCACTGCTCCAGGCCCAGCCGGGCAGGGGGCCTTTCTGCCCACCCCCCAGCTGTCAAGGAATCTCACAGCGCAACAGCCCTGGCTGCTTGATGGAAAGAACAGCTTTATTCCTCAGCTGCGGACCCAAATGCAGGCTACACGAATTTGGGGCTGTGTCTGCAGAAAGTGTTAGATGCACCCGAAAAGGAGAAGGCGAGAGGCACCGACCCCACTGCCCTAGAAGGAAATGTGCTTCCCGGTCCCTCCTCCCTGCAATTAGAAAGGCAAATTATTGCTGGGACTCTTCGAAAAAGACAACTCGGAGGTGGAAAAAAATAGATCGCCAAGCCAGTGTGGATCGGTGGGGGACTTATGGGGGACTAGAAAAAGGGGGTGTTGGGATGACTAGGCCTGGAGGCTGGCGATACCCTTGAAACCTCTTGGGATGGTTCTACCTGTTGAGTTTCCGAGGCAGTAGCGAAGCCCCCTGCGCCGCGCTCCAGGGCGCCCCTCTCTCCCAGATCCCAAACTTTCCCTGGCGCCCCTCGAAAGGACGAGCTGTCCTCCAGTCCTGATCTCAGATGTGGAACTCGCCCAGCCCCCGGGGTCTGGGGGTGGAGGGCTCACTCCCACCATGCCCCCGGGCACTTGGGTGGGGGTGCAACCTGAGGGTCAGTCCGGAACCCGACCGAAGTTTCCTCCAAAACTGCGGTGGCCAAAGCGTGACCCAGGAACTCGGGGACCCGGGTCAGACTCCGGCGAAGGAGAGCGCTGGGCCCCAAGGTACCAGTCGCAAGGTCAATGCGGATCCGAACCTGGGGACACGCAGCCGGGGCCGAAGCCCTTCGCCCGTGGGGCAGAGGGGCAGCGCCGGGCACCCAACCTCTCCTCACACCTGCTCGGCTCGACGCGAAACCTCCGACACGTGGGGGCCCTGCCCGGGGCTCCCCAGCGCGCGGCAGGGACTCGCAACGCCGCGGAGTGCGTACCCCTGCGCCCCCGGCCAGGCAAGCAGGAAAAGGCAGCGCGCCCGGGCGCCAGGCGTCCTGCTCCCCGCGCCCCCAGCATCCTCAGACCGCGGCGAGGGCCAGCAGGGAGTCCCGCGCTCTTCAGACGGACCCCAGCCCCGGGCAGCTTCCCACCACCTCTACCTTTCCCCGCTACCTCGCAGTCAGACGAGAGACACAAAGAAAAAGAGAGGGGGGTGGCGGCGGAAACTACCACCCTCCCGGCCGCATCCTCCAACCCCGAGCCCGGAGCCAGACGAGGAGAGGGCACCCGTCTCCCTCCTCCCCATCCCCATCCCGCCAGGCGACCCGGGCGGACCCGGGCCGCGCGGAGCCCGGAGGTGGCCGAGGGGGGAGAGCGAAGGCTGGAAGTGGCAGGCGTCAGGCGGAGGAGCGAGAGCGCGAGAGGGAAGAAAATAGCCAACAAAACCACGCTAACGCGCCCCCTACCTGGGTGCAACATACTTTGGAAATAGAAGATGACCAGGATAAAGGATCCCAAGCAAGTGGCCAGCACCATCCGGCAGATTCTGTTCATCCTCATCACTTCCAGCAGCGCCGGCTTCATGGCTTTGTCCTGGCTGCCGGGACCCGGGTGTCCGGGAGGCGCGCCCGGGGCGCAGGAGCCGGGAC